GATAGTTCCCTTGAAGGGCAACGGGTTATCCCTCCTGCTTTGCTTGACCCGGCGGACAGCCCCTTGTCGCGGGGCACGCCCGGTTCGTGGTGGGAAAATTACTAAAAAAATGCCTAAGGTAATCAGAAAATCGTCCCCCGATCATTTTCTTAAAACTATTTTTGGATGTCCATCCTGTCTCGAGCGCGAAAGATACCCGTACCTTTACCTAGACAGGGTGGCAACGGGCCGGGGTGGCGGTTCGTCGCAGCTGACGGCGGCTGCACAACTGTAGAAACGACAGCCGATCGAGAATTACAGACCGCTGTCTTTTCGGGGCGCACGTTAGCACCGATCGCACGTGCGTTCGAATCGGCGGAGTGCCCGACCCTGCGTTGGTTGTTGTCGATGTAGACCAGCTACTGCGGAGGCGCGCCCCCAGACACACATCCGGGCGTTGAGGAGTCAACGCGCACTCGGGGGCGCATGCGAACAACTCTGGCGCGAACGTCATTGCGCGACAACCGCCCTATCGCGAATTGCTCGATGCTGAAACATTGCGAATCTGTGCCCTGGGCGAGGTCGCCAGAGGCCGCCCCCCTTGGACGGCCGTCCGCGGATCACCCTAGCTAGGTACGGTTGCCCCATGGAAACCCCAAAAACATACCCGTACCTAGCCGGGGTGCCGCAGCTCACCCCAGCTAGGTCCGGGTATGTTCCGGTGGTTTCAGGCAGGCCCCCGTACCTACCCGAGGTGGCGGCAGGCCCAAAACGCTGTCGAGCACATATCATGCCCTCCAGAGCCGTCCCCGACGTGGCCGCTGCGGCCCCCTGGGGGCGCGACATTGCAACGTCGTTCCTCAGGGCAGGCCCAGACGCATTGGTTGCCAGGATAGCGAGGGAATGCAACTCTTTATCGATTTGGACAGGCGCCGCCACATATGGGCGGCTTTGAACCGCGCACGCACCACGATGCCCCGAGACGTCCCTGACAAAAACCAGCGCTTGTCGCTGCAATCAGACACCTAACAATCGAGCGCGCCGTTGCGTCTTCACGCGTGGATGCTGCACTGGCGCGCGCGGGGCAAGCTAACCGGGCACAGTAGCAAACGCCCAGTCCCCCGGACGGCCCATCTCACCTTGGCTGGGCCCGGGTACGGGTATCTTTCGGACCAATGATCCTGTAGAGGGACAGGCCCGACTTAAACATAGGGGGAAACATAAGGGGGGGGCGTCCAAAAGACCGCTTGTGAATTTCCAGCGATGGCGGATCCCGTGGGGGGGGGGGCAGCGCGGCCGGGCGCTCCTTGTGGCATGCAAAAGGCGTCGTGCAGAAAACATCCCGCGCAGCGGGAAGGCCCTGGCTGGCACGGGCAAGATGGGCTGGCCCATTCCCTATGCACAGTGCACGAAATTCGGAAGGACGGCTGCCGGCAGGGCTCCGCGTGGTCGGTCCGAGGCCGACGCGCGCTCCAGTGCGTCGGGGGCGCCACCACGACCAAAGAGTGCAGGTGCTGGCGACGGCGGTCGGGGGACTGAAGCGCCACAGGTGGCGACGGCCGATAGCCGAACCTTGTCGCTTTGGGCGGCCCACGTATGCCCGTTCGCACCAGTACTGCGTACCCCTTAGGACCTGCGCAATCGGCACGCTCATGTTATCCTCGGGATGGGGGGAGGGCAGGCGGGCCCAAGGACCCGGGCTGTCGCCAGACCCTAACAAAAACAGGCGCCGAAAGGGGGGGTCACAACTCATGACCCGAGGCACGTGCGCGGCCCAGTGGGGGGCGCAACAAGGAGAGGGGCCATGACATCTTCGATTGTAGCCACCCATTCTAATCATCACCGCCCTCGTGGCCGCCCCCGAAGACAGGGGAGAGAGAGCGGAGCACACAGTGGGCACCCGCGCGCCGGGAGAACACAGAGGAACAAAACATGACATACACAAAAACTGCTGGAGGTCCGCGCGGATCTCTTGGAACTGTGCCGACTCCCTTCCCTGGCGCAAGGAGCGCGCCAAAGGCGGCGCCAGAAGCAACGGCACGGGAATCCAGCGTCGACGCGAGAAACCCGCGCGGACACCCACAAGTTCATGCTTATGCAATTTGTCATTCCCCGAAGAATGCGCAGGAGGGCAATATTGCGATGTATGTGGCAAGCTCCGCCGACGGTTGCAGGTCGACGAGTCCCTTCGCATGCTGCCCAGGAGCGAGCGAGCCGCCAAAAAGCTGCGGATGGTGATGCGCTGCACGTGAGCACTTAAAACATCCAAATGATGACATAAACATAAAGACTCGCAGGTCCGCGCAGATTTTGCAGATTTCTTGGTTCCGCGCTGAACCCCCTCTCTGGGGCGCGGAGTGCGCCAACGGCGGCGCCGGAGGCGCCTCCAAGCGGCCCAAGCGCCGATCCAATAAATCCGCACGGACCTCCGAATTATTATGTTTATGTCATTCTTCGTTCCCCTGACATTGTCATTCTGCAGCGCGAAGTGAGAATCTCCACCGCCGAGCCAGGCCAGGGCCATCTGGGGTCCTGGCGTGCCCTCCCGGCGAAGGCCAAAAGGGGGGTTCGGCACCAGACCTTGGTACCGTGGTAGGTATGGGTGCCTCCTGCGGGGGGAAGGATTAGGAGGAAGGAGGAGGAAAGCACCTACCCACCTTCCCCGCCTCCTCCTCCCACCTTCCTCCTCCTCTTCCTCCTCCTCCTCCTCCTTCTCCTCCTCCTCCTCACCTGTGGCATCGCTCTTCTTCCGTCGCCGCTCCTCCTCCCGCCTTCGTCCTCCTGTGAATACCCCCTCCGTGCGTGCCGCACCACCACACACAACTGAACGGATAGAACGCATGTGGTTGTCATAATGCGGATCTCGCCTTGGCGCTGCGCACCTAGGACTTTAACACTTCCAGCAACTACACAGGTGGATGCTACCGTACAAGAATACACAGTTCCTCTTCAAAAGATGGTTATCGCACAAGACCTCCTCAACAAATACTAACATAAGTGCAAGCTTGTGCAACGGCTACTCGGACGGAGGGCGGATCCTGCTCGATCAGAGACGGCAGCCGCCTGAAGCTGTGCCGGATGATCCACAAAAACATTGCCCATGTGAAACAGCTACACGGATGGAGCGTGGTTCCTGTGCAAAGCTGGCTCTGGCGCTGAGCGTGCCCTTTGATACAGAAAGAAAGCACGACATATACATAAATCTTGGCGCTCCGCGCGGATTTCCTGGATCTGCGCTGGACCCCCCCCCCCCTCCCTGGCGCGCGGACCGCGCCATGGGCGGGCGATCCACGAGATCCGCGCGGAGCGCCAAAAGTTTATGTCTACGCAGCTTTTTCTTTCTCGACCTGAATTAGCAGCCCGACCCCGTCGCCTGTCTTACAGCGCCGAGGGGTGCCTGGCGGTGTCTCTGTCTGAGCCAAGCTGTCCCGCACGCGGGCGCGGGCCCACGGGGTGCCCTGCGCAGGGAGGCAGAGGGGGGCGCCCTGGACGGAGGAGGACGAGGAGGAGGAGGGGGAGGAGGAGGAGGAGGAGGGGGAGGAGGGGGGGGAGGAGGAGGAGGAGGAGGAGGAGGAGGAGGAGGAGGAGGAGGAGGAGGAGGAGGTGTGATGCTGTACAGTCAACCCATCTAGCAAGGATTCGCGGTGAGGATGCAAGGGCCTTGGACGCCCATGACGGGGCTCTTCGAACGGGATTGGCCGTCGAGAGTGGTTGAGGGTTGACCGAAGATGACCGAAGAGGCAAGGATGCTAGGGTACCCTTGGGAAGCCGACTATCCTTACTTTACGGTTTGACTGCATCGTTGGTACATATTGGGTTCAATCTGATCATCCGCCTCCCCCCCTCCGTGGTAGTAAACTCGGTATTCGGAATCTCCTCTGCTCACCTTCAGGCGCTGCAGAGGCGTCCCTGTCCATAATCCTGTCCCTGGCTCCTGGCTCCAGCCTCTCTTTGCGCTTTGGTAAGACGCCTCGGTCTCGACGGATACGGCGTGAAAAATGCAGGAGAGCTCTACCCTCGAATTACACAACAGAATGATGAGGCCTGAGCCCAGGGCAAGTGGCTGGCCCTCGAGCCCACCTCACAAAGATCCATGCGGGTATTCTGGCAACGCTAACCAGACTCGAACTTATCCCTATCTCTAACGTGGGCAAGCCAAAAGCGATGACAACCTCAATGATGTTCCCTCAGATCTGCACATGAATCAGGAGATGCCTTTCTGAGGGTCAGGGATATGTTCCAGGCTGCTAATGAGCCCCGGCGCGGGGTGAAACCGACGAAGCCGTTGGAAGGAACAGTGAATGGCTCTGAGAGCTCTCGCTGCCTTGTTGTCCACGCTCCAGGCTAGCGGTGGCGCCATTCGGCCCTTTGCCCGCCCTCGGGCGAACCCCCCCTCGTGATCGCGGCGGCGAGCAGGGGGAAGTCGGGGCCTAGCGGGCGTGAAGTTTCGAGACGCACCCCATACGTCAGAGCCGAAGCATCGCGCCCCAGCATTTCGAGTCGTGCTTGCTGCGGCCGCCACAGCAGCTCCGCGTCCGCGAGCCCAGGGGAGACCGCTCCCTCCGGGCGGAGGCTGCGGCTAGGCGTGAAAATGAAATCGTGCAAAACGGCTTCTCGGAATTGCCAGTGCAATTTGCTACTGTCAATATTTCCGTGCCCTCGGGCAGCAGAGACCCAGCGGGCAACTTGTGGCAGCCTCTTTGGTCCCGACCAGTGAGCGCCGGCAGGGCTGGAGAGGGATGACGCCAAGCACCAGTTGCGCAAAGGATGATTAAACTCGTAGGCACCTCGCTGCCTGAGCGGATGCAGCGCCAGGCCGGACCTAAACGTTGTGTTTTGTTTTGTTGTTCGTGTTGCTCTCCCTGTTTTCCTGTACCTCCTGCCAACAAAAAAACAAAATACAGCCGAAGTCCAGCAGCGTGCAATCACTGCCAAACACGCCGTGCGAAACGCAATCGGCGCGCACCATTACCTCCGCAACCCTTTTCACCTTCTGAAAAACGTTACAACATCCACAGTAATTAGCGCAGCCGTGGCGCCTCGGGCCCGCAGACCACCGCGCCGGAGCCGCGGCTGGCGGGGCGTGCTCGGCGCGCAGCCAGGCGCGCCGGCGCGGGGCCTCCCGCCTTGCAGCACCGGCGCAAACAGGCGACGCGCGCGGCGACGGCGGCAGTGCCCGCTGCGCCGCCCTGTCCGCGGGGCAGGCCTGGCAGCTCCACGCCGCCGCGCAAGGCCCCGGCTGGGTGGCGCCTGCGCGCGCTGCGAGGCGTCTGCGACCACTGGGCCGTGGTTGGCGGCGTCGCCGAACGAGGGCTGGGCCGCTGCTGCCAGGCCATGTGCGGGTGCTGGGTGCAGAGGGGCTGCCAGCCCCACCAAAATACCCTCAGAGGCAGGTTGAAAAACTTAAGCGACAAGTTGTACATGCAGGGGCAGGTGCCCTTGAGTCAGCAGGCTCGCGCGCGGCAGATTCGCACAGCGGCCCACAGAGAAGAGGACGATGAGGAGGAAAGAAACTGAGACGCGATAGACAACGAGGACGCTGGCATTGGAAAACTTGGTCATGGCGCTGCTCACTCAATGCAGGCGTGCTGGAACCACTTTCGACCGGAAACGCCTGCCCTTCCCCCCCCCCTCCCCCAATCTCCGTAACTACCGTCCGACCCCTATCACCACAACCTCCACCATCGGGCCAGACCTAGGTCGCGCTGTTGCAAGTCCACATCCGCTGCGCACCTCTCAGATCCGCGGAGCACCGCCACCGCCGCACAGATTCTTCGAGTTGCGCGTGATCTTCCGCGTGGGCTCGGGGAAGGGCACTGGGCTACACTCCGAGAACAAGGCAGGCTTCCAGGCGTCGGGGTAGGTCGCCTGCATGACCTCGAGGTTGCGGTAGGCTTGGACGTTTCTGTCGAGGCCCTGCCGGGTGCTCCAACACAAGCTGCAGACCTTCGAGCTCCTCTTGGGCCACGCCTGGAAGCCCTCGAACGCGCCGAAGAGGCGACTGGCAACCTCAGTGCTTAACGCGTTTACAAACGCGTAGCCACGCGTCTGGTTCGTCTTGAAGTCTATCGGCAAGTACACCAGGTCAAACTGCCCTCGGAAGCCCTGCGAGTTCAGCAGCTCCACGAACATGTCTCGCGTGAGCAAGTAGGGCACGTTGCGGAACAGCACGGTGGTGCGCCGCTCGGCGCCACTCGGCGGCGGCGGCTCGCCGATCGGCACCTCCAGGCCCACCCACGGGGTCAGCAGCGCAGGCGCCGACGACGAAGCGCGCAGGCTCCGGGCCATGTCCTCCTCGGCGGCCTCCTGGAAGTGCAGGAAGGTGTTCCTCACGACCGCCCTCCAGCTGCCCAGGCCTCCGAGCACTGAAGGCGGCAGCGCCGCGCCCTGCGCCGCTCCGGGCGCGCACGCTCGCTGGCCGCTCGCGGCGGGAGACGGGTGCTCCGGGCGCTCCATCAAGGCCGCGGGCGCGGCCGCCATTGGCCCTGCCGGGCGCGTCGGCCGAGCCGAGGCTGGGGCGATCGGCGTGTGCTTCAGCCAGAACCTTAAGCTAAACAGCTTGACTCAAAGTGGCTCGACCCCAAATGACCATGGAGGTTCTTCGCTCGAGTTTTGAGGCCCAAGAGGCCCAGGGCGAGGTTTGGCGGCGCGCAAGGCTATCTGGCAGGGTGGGCGGTATGCTTAGATGGCGGGATGCTTCTTAGAAGGATGTCTCTAATCGGGCACTTGTACTGACCCAGTTCAATGCAAACCCGGTTCACTCAAACTTTGCAAGATCCTGCCAAATCCTGCAGGATCCTGCAGGAGCTTGCGCCCTAATCTGGGTCAATGCGCCCCTGGCTCTGCAGGATACTGCAAAACCTGGCGCTCTGGCTGACCCCCTTTCCACTGACCTCGTCGAAACGGGTCCTGGACCCTGGTGCCTCCCCTCCCCCAGGACAAATCCTTCATCCTGAATTGTTTTCTGACAGTCCCGGGGGACCGTGGAGGGCCCCAAGGGCCCGAAAACAGCGAAACATCTCAGGACCCCTTTCCCTCAAGATCCGCTCCCCCCACAGCGAATCTGACGGCATTTATTTGAGGAGGCGAGGGCTTCCAAACAGCCACTGGCCTTCGTAGAAACCGATCGCCGCATTCGCAGATCGCCGCCCCATCGGGGCACTCTGGCTCTTCGCTCTGGTGTGGAAGCCCGTGGGGCGCAGGCAGGCTCAAGGCAGCACCAGTCTGCATCGGATCGAGAAGTCAAATCGAACTGGAATCTGCCTCGGCAAGAAATTCAAATCGAATCGAGTCGGCTGCGCCAACATGCGCGACAGCACCGTGCAGACGTCGGGCCTTATCGGATCGTCGTGATATCAGAACCGCATCGGGTCGGGCCAGACGGGAGATCGGCATCGAACTGATCGGATCGAACATGGACCCTGCCCAAGTGGCCAATGCAGCACCCGCGGATGCTTTCCTCGGGCTCGCTCGGCTGGTCGTAAACCAAAGGGGGGAGCACAGGGGTGAGAATGGACCGATGAAATTTCAATTCTAAGTTGTCCTATCCTACTTCATGTTTTGGCCTCCGATCCGTCGCGCCTGCTCCGCACATGCCGCGGCCTACTTCGGTGCAAGAACCAAACGGCAAAACTCTGAAAGCAAGCGCCTGTTATGACACATCGCTGCTTTGGCACGCTGGGGACTGCAAGAACATCTGTTTCCAGCGAGCTGGTTGCAGGCAGACGGCGTTACGTGTTCGGACCATAGACCCCGTGTTACCCATCGCCCATCGCACCTGTGCCGTCTTAGGCGGTGCTCGGACGATTTTTTGGACGCCCGAAATGGGTACGGAAAGAATGGGTACAATGCCCAAAAACAAATGTTGTCCCAAACCAACAGCGGCCGCTGTTGGGCAGGCGGCCTTCTGTCCCAAATGGGCACACAGGCCGCGACGACACCGACAGCGAGTCCTGTTCAAAATGAACAAGAACTGCTGTTGGGCATTGTACCCGTCCTTTCCGTACCCATGTCGTTCGTGCCGAATTCTCGCCGGCCTTCGGCAATCTTCGGACGGTCTCCGGAAGTCGTTGGCAGTTTCCAGCGGTCATCGGCGCGAAAGCTGGCGGTTGCGTTCAACGCGGGGTCCGGGATTTGGTCTCCCATGTCCTCCTACAGGCGAATTCTTGACGAAAAATAAAACATACTCCAAAAATATTCAAAACTAGCTCTAAACAGAAACGTCCCCAAACTATGGTCTAACCATTTTCGAATATTCCTCCTGTAGAAAGACAGACCCGATCTAACAGGATCGACCCCAATCCGTGCAAACCTCGCGTTTCCCCTGGGGCAGTGATGGCCGCTGGGCATCGAGAGGCAACTGCCCAGCGCAGGGGCAAGAACCGGCGGCACGCAGCCCGCTCTTGTCCGCCCTCCTCCTCCTCCTCCTCCTCCTCCTCCTCCTCCTCCTCCTCCTCCTCCTCCTCCTCCTCCTCCTCCTCCTCCTCCTCCTCCTCCTCCTCTTCCTCCTGCGCACAACCTGAGGCGCCACAGAGTCTATGACACCACAGCCGTCAGATGGCGTGGCTGAGGGCGCACCTTACAACCGCCCTCAGCCACGCGCTTCGGACAGGGCCCGCATGGGCCAAGCTCCTGCCGCGAGGCTACACCTCGGGCAGAGGGGACTGCGCACGGCCAGACCGCCAGCGCGCACGGGAGGGCAGTGCGGGACCAGCAGAAAGTGGGTCACAGCACGAGCCCGTCGAAGAAAGAAAAGAGAGGGGAGGGCGGGCCGAGGGCCACGGGGCGATCTCCCTTACTGGGAGGATCCCCTATGGCCAATGACCTGCCCCCCAGAGCGCGACCCCACGGTGGGGTCGGGCTGTTCCTGACCATTAACATCGAGAGCATCGGGCAAAACGTCAGGAGGAGGACGAGGGCGGCCACTGGCAGCTGCCAGCAGCCGCTGAACAATGGCAGCACGCTCTGCCTCCGTGCGCTGCGTGCGCTGCTTGCGCACAGGCACGGCGGTGTCCGAAACATCTCCTCCGCCCCCGCTCAACGACGTCGACGGCGCGACACCACCTTCCTCCGCTAGAGCAACAGCACTGCCAGCAGACCGCTGGGGTGCCTCCGAGGTGGCCACGCCTGCCTCCAGCTGGGGAGCTGCCGAGGCGCTAGCCACCGTAGCAGGCTCAGAGAGACTCTTCCCTCCTCCACCGCTAGCCAACGACGACGCGCCAAGGCCTCCATCCTCCGAGATGGCGCCAGCACCCACACCAAACGGGTGGGATGCCCCCGAAGGTTGGGCCGAGGCATCAGTAGCAGCACTGTCGTCGCCAGCCTCCAGCTGGGCGGCGTGAAACGAAACGGCCACAGCGGCCACAGCGAGCGGCGCCTGCGCTGCGACCCGAAACACCTTGGTGCCGAGGCGAAACTCCCCCTTGCAGAGCCGCTTGAGCACCTTCAGGGCATGGTCTGCGGCCACAGGCGGGCACGGCTGGCTGAGAGCTGCAACGCGAGAAACCGCAAAGCTGCCACAACGCGCGCAGCCCACAACAGTGGGACCTTCACACTGTGCAATACGAACTAGGTCATGCTTGCGCGCTCCATCCCCTAGCTGCCTCTGCGCAGCCAGCACGCGAGACGCAATGTCAGATGGGACGGGGTTGCGCACAACGAAAGGCCGAGGGAGACGCGGCTTGCCACGATGGTGCCGCTTGGGGTGGCCACAATCTTCAAGCCCGCCGCTGAGTCGGCCAATCCAGCCCCCCCCAGGTCTTGACAACCTTGGAGCGAGCCTGCAGCTGCGCACGGCTCTGCCGCGGCACTCGCGCAAAGGCAGCAGCGCTCTTTGCAGCGCGGTCTGCCATCACATTGCCAAACTTGTGGCGCGCCGTGGCGCGCCCGTGCTGGATGTCACCTGCGGCCGCATGACCTTTGACCTTCGAAAGCTCGAAACCGTCCCCCCAGTCATCCACCAAACGCCAGAACTCCCGCCAGAGGTGAGCATGCGCGGCAACACAGGCAGTAGTGGCCACGCGGCCACGTTCGTGGAAGCCATCCACGACAAAGGCTGAGTCCGAAAACATGCGCACTGGCGGCGCCGCAAAGCGCAGCACATGAATAACTGCGATGAGTTCGGCAGCACTAATGCACTGCAAGGGGTCGAGCACGGGGCCAAAGCAAAACGAAACAAACTAAAGGCAATCGAGGTGAAGCGCCACGCACCCCCAGCCCGCACTCGCGAGCCTGGGATACTCAGCTTCAAAAACCGATCCATCAGGGTAGACATCTCCCGTGAAGCTGTCAGGCCCTCCAAGCCCCCAGCGCACGGGTCGCCCAGGCGGCGGCCTGACGAGTGCAGGAAACGGGACCAGACAGCGCTCAGCAAAGACGAGGGCTAGCGGCGACTGCGCCGCCCGCACTGCATTGACACGAAACGCAGGAACCGCCCTCGAGGCTGTCGAGGCGCACACAAGAGCAGTGCCTGTGCAGCAGCGTGCCTTCGGCGTGGGGGCAGAGGAGGCAAGTAGGCGTGGTATCGTATCCTTCGGCCCACTGGCGCTTCTGGGGCCACTGTCCCCCAACCACGGTGCTGCGCAGGCGGCCTCTCTGCGGTGCCGTGAGCTTACTCTTGGTGATGAGCAGGGCCTTCAGGGGGCTGAGTATGACACCGTTGCAAAACTCAGGGAGGCCCAAGTGGTCGGCAACCTTGGCGAACTGCCAACACTCGACGGCACGGTACACGAGCTCTTGGGTCGTAACAGGGCAGAAGTCCATGGGGTTGATGACGGCCCCATCGGGCCAAGTCCAGGAGGTAGCCGAGGTAGCCGTATCCCGACACGTTTGAGGGTCGCCCACACTGCACTGAAAGGGCCCCAAATGGAAGACCAAAGGTGCTCAAGAATCGAGAGCCGATCGCGGGCCTCACGGAGGCCGAAGTCCAGGGCGTCCAGCGTGGAGGAAGGCTTTCACAGGCAACCACGTAGCCCTAAAAATGGGGTCCAAACGGTGCACAGGGGACAACAACAAGGCCAGGGTCCGAGATTTACCACCCATACGATGGTCTTGAAGTTTACCAGCAGCACCTCTAAGAACCTCTAACTCCTGCCCGTTGGTGCCCACCACGGCGGACCCATATAACACGGAGGACTCCAGAGCACTTCGAGCCATGCGTCCAAGCACGCGGCGACGAGGTTTGGAGCCTTTGAGGATCGACATGCGCTGCCGCCTCCTGCCCACGGCCTTGACACGGGAGGCGAACGTGGCCTTGCCCCTCCAGCGAGCCCAGAGGAAAAGTCCACACCAAGGTTTCTCTCAGCTCTAACGGGCAGGGGTTGGAGGCTACGGAGCTTCGAAGCGATCGAGGCTCTAACAGCAGGCGAATTCCCAAGCACACGGGACTTGTCGACAGCAATCCTAAGGTCGGCGGCCTTGAGCTCACTGTGGAGCTTCTTACCCGCACCGACGATGTCTTGCACCACTCTCGACTCTGCGCC